GCAAGCCAACTACAAGCCACGCCAAGTGCACGTGAATAGTTTTGTGGGTTTAGGCGAAGCCAAGCGACAAACACATCAGTTGTCTGCAGGCTCTCCACAGTTGCGCATCGCTGCCTAGTTTGAAACCCTTGTGTTAGTGACCTCGGAATTTTAAAATGCCAGTTTCAAGCGACCAGCGTTACGCCAATAAAATGGTGTGTTGCGGCCCAAGCAAACGGGCGCTCAGACCGTTACCATGCTAAAGGAAGCTTATGCGAAAGCACCATGTCCAAACAATATGGTTTACCGCTGGCACAAGATGTTTCCGAGAGGGCAGAGGAGGGACGCCGAGGATTGAAGACACGCTCTGGCCGCCCGTCAACGTCACATTCCGATCAAAATGGTGAAGAAAAGTGAGGCGAACATGCTGAACTCTAATCGACGCCTGAATAGTAGAATGCTGGCAGATGAGTGTCATATCCCTAAAAGTACTGTGCATTGCAATTGTTACGAAGATTTGGGCATGCCCGGAAAGATCTGTGCGCGAGATGGTCCCAGCAGGTGCTTTCCGATGAACAGAAGGCCCTGCTCGGGCAAAGAATTCGGCCGCTGACCTCGTGGAGCAGTGTGAAAAATGATCGAATTTTTTGGATAATGTGCATTTACGGTTGCCGAAACATGCGGTTTCGAGTATGCCCGGGAGACCAAAAGACAATGCTGAGTGTCACACGCCAGCTCCCCGCGCCCAAAAAAGGCAAGTTCCCGTGTAAGCAATGCTCAGCGGGTCTTTTCGACAAAAAAGAGGCATTGTTCCACTTCAGAGTGGTGCCACAAGGACAAAACAGTGAACAAGTCATTTTACTTGCAAGTCCTTGAAAAGGCTCCAAAGCCAGAGCTGAAACGCGTCAGGAAGGAGAGCGCCAGCACTTGGCGTCTTCCACCATGACAACGCGCCGGTGCACACCTCCTTCATTATTAGAGAGCTACTTAGCGAAACGGTGTGGAAACATTGCCCCCAGCCGCCGTACAGAATAAAACTCCGACTTGGCACCACTGAACATTCTTTTTGTTCCCGAGGATCAAGAAGAGAACTCAAGGCCACCATTTTGGCGACTTTGGAAGCCTGTCAAAGAAGCAACGACGAGGCTTGCTTGAAGGAGGTCTCCGTCGACGCCTTAACAGGTTGCGTTTCAGCGACTGGGAAAAAACGCTGCGCAGTGTTCCGACGCGGAAGAAGCTACTTTGAAGCAATTTTAGTTACTTGTGTATTTATCTTCAATAAATATTTTTTCTTGGACTTATTCAACTTACTTTTGGGACAGACCTTGTAACTCCCAGTGAGATATCAGCCTGACCTAAAATTGAACCTCGCCCCTGCTCCCTGGGGTGGGGCTGGGGTCAAATTTAAAGTCTTAAATAGGGACTCCCATTTTTATTGCATTTTCTATTTCTACCCTAAAATATCATAAGTTTTGTCTACAACTCTTTTTATAATTCGTGATAGAGTGCACGGTAGTCTCAAAAGTAAGATTTTTGCAATTATCGAGAAATTACACTTTGGTGCAAATAATATCTCCCTTGCTTTGATTCTGGACGGTAAATATTAGTTTCTCTAGCTGCTCACGTTTTCATTAGCACACGTTTCACAAGTGAACATGGGAGATAAAAATATTTCTTGAACTCTTAGCCAGGAAGAGGGTCATTCTTTTCGAGGAGTAGAGAAAACAGTTATTTAGTCATCAATTCTATGACTGTACTTAATTGTACAATCCAAATATTGCATGGGAGCGAATATTTAGTTTTGCAACTGTTGCCAATTATTCTTGTTGATAGCTTTATTTCATTAAGTAAATTAATAAGTATATCATTTTATACAACTTACTTTCGGTGGAAGCGGCGGACTCGTGTGCTGCCCATCGTGCTGTGGAGGAGCGAGGGAGCACGCGCGCTCGAATGCATTGCCCGGGGGAGGCTGCGGGGGCGTGGCACCGGTGGAAAGCGGAGCAGATGCAGCAGTGGACGCCGAGCTGGAGGGCGAGCTGGAGGCCGCCTTGGTGTCAGGAATGTATGCCGGAGAGCAAGGGGCTGCAAGAAAGATGGCATAGCATGTTCTACACTCGATGATTTCAAAGTCCTGGTTAGCCGAAGCACTCCTCACAAAGATAAAAGATCATACTTGGAAAAACGGAACATGAAAATGTATGAAATAAATATATTACTTGCTGCAGCACGAGACACGCGTACAGTGAGATGCAGGACTGACTCAAATTCACCCAAATGCGTCAATTCAAAATTTCGCGCTTGTATTTATATCCAAAAAAGGTGAAATTGTCTCTGGTAATTCTGAAAATGGCCTCCAAAAGCACATCCTTCTGAACGTTTTAGAAGACGAAAAATCGTCAAGGAACGGCTGAATAGAAACGAACGGTTTCTCAGCAGAATGACGTGAGAGAACATTGTTCTTCTAATGAAGAGGATAGAATAACGAAAAACAGCATCGAAATGAGTCTGCAGAAATAAGTAGGAATTAGTATATACAATAAAATCGCGAAGCATGATAGGTAATGTGGTAAATTCCTTGCAGTGGCGGACATTTAACCAGCTAAGTATCTATGGGAAGATGGCAAGTCTTGATGATAAATAAAGATGTAATCACATCCTAAATCGATTAACCTGCGTAGTTACATCCGTCACATTCGGCTAGACAACTATCCACCCACCAATGCAGCCATATAAGGTGTTTGGACGCGACGTGTTTTTCTGTCAAGAAGTCAGCATCGCGGTCCCCCTGCCGTATTGCATAAATTACTCCGTAGAGAGTTCAAAAGAAAGTACAAAGAAGTACAACACTTTCTCGTATTACTGCTTTTGCGCCGTCGTCCTTCCGGAAAAGACGTTTAACACAGAGGGTCTGCACTCCACCAACCTGAGCAGGCGGCGTCGGCAGGCGAGGAGGCGGACACGAGCGGGCTGACTGCGCCCGCGGCCTCCAACATCTGCACCCACACCAGCTTCCGCCGCCACTCCCCAGGCTCTGCAACAGAGAGAACGTCAGGGCCAGTGCTGCTTGCCAGATCATGCACTCAAAGCCACTTCGAGTATCTGCAAACACCAGGGCATGATCTGTGGCTCACGTACCACACAGCTACATTGTTTACATTGCCCAAAACATTTCGGCAACACATGAAATTCAATTTAATGCGCTTTTTGTCTCAAGTACAATGCATAGTAAGAAATTCCAAGACAAATCGCACAAAAAGCCCAAAATTGGACTTTCATATTTTTATTTTCTTTCTTTCTATATATTGTAAGAATCAAGTATATTAATATGTGTATTTTTATTTTAATCTAACTTTATTTTTGGAAATATTCCGTGTTAAAATTTGCAAAAAATGACGCGCATCACTAACATTAAATTATCACAAGCTTGGAAACACTAATTATAGAAACTCCATTCAAATTCCATTCGAAACTAAAAAAACATGCTTTTTTTAGATTTTTCAAGTTTTTCTTCTCCAGATTTTTCATTTCTTTATTTAAATTTTAAAAGTTGAATATTCTTTTAAACTCGATATGTTAAACTTAAAAAAAATATATTTGTGAACGCATTAAAGTTTGATTGAACTCGTCAGCAAAAAATCAAAGTGGGATCTTAGTAACTTTAAAAAATATGATTTTTTTTACCAACCAGTGTATATTTGGTTGGTGCAATAGACGCGTTTCTTGCGTTACTGACCGGCAGTTTGTTTGGATGATGCATTAATTGAAGTACTTCTTGAGGAGATTCAACTTCAACTTGGTTATTCTGACGGATTTTTACTCAAGTTTTGACTCACATTTCAAAATATTCACGTCCTTCACAACTCACTTCTAATATACTCGCGAAAGAAAGTAGTTTCACTGTAGCCTGAGTTAGAGACAAAGAAGTAAAATAATGTATTTTTAAAGTCAAAGTCATTGTATTTAAATTTTCATACTTAGACACGTAACTGTATGTATGTAAAGAACAAAAAATAAAAGGAATATTATAAATACTCCTTTCTTCCCTATCAAATAGTTTCTTAGGCATTGTAATTGGATATTGACCTGGTTGTAGACTGGCTGGAGTGGCAAGTCGCTTAACAGTTCCTTCAATGCATCGCAGGCTCCGTTAACATGTGACGTTGCAAAAAATCCCATTCTGCATTGACCACAAAATCTTCTTCGTGGGTGAAAATATTTTTTTTAAATATTCTTATTTTTATACTGTGTACTTGAACCATCGGATAAGTCTATAATTTTCCGACATGAATCAAAATTCACCAATCTAATGATTCGTCTAAACCAAGTTTTACTAGTAAATCGTGTTTTATGCGACTTAGAGATTTTATTTTCTTAAAATCGTGATCCGAAAGATTAAATGGAATGAAACATCTGTTATATCTAATACGGTGATCACCATTCATGTTGCACAGTGTACACACGACTAACAGTACAAGTTCTAACACTCTTCACTTTATAAGATGCGTACCCCGACTGATGCTCCGAAAATTGTACTCATGTTCCCTGACAAGTGGTCTGCTGTATTCTACGAGCAAGGTCAGTAGGGCGCCACATCCTTAGGAAGTAAAGGGACCCTGCAGTAAAGTTCGTTTCGCTGACACGAGGAAAAGCCCAGGTTGAATTCTTTCGCTATCACCCATTCCCCCTGGGGGCAGAGTGAACATGTGATATAATAATATTTCTTGAACTCTTAATCCGGAAGAGGGTCATTCTTTTTATTGTTCTTCAGCACTTCTCATTAAGACTCACCGAACGCAATTCGTTAGTGCATGGGCAGGGAGAGCGCACCTTCATACCTTCAATTGATTTTTTAGAATTGAACGTGTGCAGGGCTCACTTTTTCTGGTCGTATTTCATAGAAAATTATATGAGAATTACTCCTATATTTTTTCGAAGTTTTAACTTATTGAGCTTATATACAAATCATCATTTTTTTTCGAATAATTACAATTTTTAAATGAAATGTTTATTTTTTGAAATTATGAATAAAATACCTATCTTAAAATATTAAATTAAACAAACCAATTTTTATATTAAGTATATTCCGAGTAACAATTGATCATATTTTGCGAAGTACACGTAAATTCCAAAATTTAATAAAGGCATAACTATACAAATAATTAATTTTCAGGCAAAGAAAAAACACTTGTCTCTAATTTCGATGTCAAAATTCAATAAAAAGCGTACATTCTAATAAAAGGCGAATTAACTCTCAGGCGATTTGGCATGGAATGGTTCCTTTGCGATTGTGAACGGGAGGATTGTAGCAGTAGGTGTGGTTGGTGGGAAGTTGTTGGTGTCGCGGGAGAGAGAGCAGGGAGCTGTGGGAAGGCTTATATTAGGTGGTATTGCACGTGAAGTTGGAGATAATAGAACATTTGAATAACTACTGTGCTTGTTTGTAAATCAACCTCTAGAACTATGACAGACCTCACACAGCACACGAGACACACTCATTTCAGAGATTGAAGTACTGACCTGCAGCTGCAAACGTTCTCGATTCGTCGCGCCACAAAAGTGTTTTTCTGTCGAGAAGTCGGAACGTTCCCATTCAGTATTGCATTACCTTCTCTGTAGAGAGTTCAGAAAAAAGTAGAAACAAGTACAAAACATTCTCGTCTTATTTACTAGGATGTCATGCTCAGGCATTACGCCCTGAGGAAGGTCGCAGAATGGCGACCGAAACGTCGGCATCTTCGCCATGGACGCGGCATCACCCGGACAGCCTAGTAAATACTGACTCCGGCCGCGGAAGCCTACGCTCTCATTCTCGTATTATTGCTTGTGTACCGTCATGCATCTGGACAAGACATTTAGCACAGAGTGCCCGCAAAAAGCACGATGTGCAGGCGAGAGCACTCTCCTAACCTGAGCGGGTGATGTCCGTAGGCGAGGAGGTGGATCTGAACGAACTGGTGTCGCTCGAGGCCTCACTCTGCTCCCACTTCAGCCTGCGCCACCACTCCGGAGGCTCTGCAACAGAGAGGCAGCGCTGGGCACATTGTTGGGCGCATACATCGTCACGAACCACGCACGCGAGGGCCATTGCTGCCCGCCAGCTCACGTCCTCATGCGCTCAAAGCCATTTCGAGTATCTGCAAGCACCTGTGACGCAGATATCACACTTATAATTGCTTCCATTGTCCTAAACATTTCGTTGAGCACTTCAAATAAAATTGAATGCGATTTTTGTCTAGAAGTGCAAAGCATATTGCGGATGTAAACGTAAGGTGTGTAGGAGTAGAAGTGGTTGGTGGGAAGTTTTGGTGTCACGAGAGAGAAAAACAGCAAGGAACTGTGAGAAGTCTTGGAATAGTTGTCTGGTGTTGCACGTGAAGTTGCACATAATAAAACATTTTCATAACAACAGTGTGTGTGTGTGTGTGTGTGTGTGTGTGTGCGTGTAAATCGACCTCTAGAACAATCACAGATCGCACACGAGACACACTAATTTCAGCGATTTAATTACCGACCTGCAGCTGTAATTTTTCTCTACTCGTCGGGCCACAAAACGTGTTTTTCTGTCGAGAAGTTGACATTGCTGTTTCCTGGTGATATTGTATAAAATACTCTGTAGAAAGTATGGATTATTGAATAAATAGATTATTGGAGAAGATCGGCAAGAATTTCAATAGGAGAAAAACGTATTAGAAAAAAATATGATCGTATCACATTCAGTTATAGATTTTATAAATAAAAACGGCTAACCTTCTTTCGATATGTTAAAAGAATGGAAGAATGGAGACTACATAAATTAGTGTTTAATTGGGATCTTTTGGAAAATGGAAATGTGGAAGACCACGTGTGCCATGGAAACAAGTAATTTTAAATGCACCACAAGAGATAATAATAAACAAAAATGAGATTTATAACAGAGAAGAATGGACAAAATGATTACATGATTAAAATTGTATTATTATTGTTGTTGTGTAATTGTTGGAAACCGGAAAAATATGAAAACATTTCAAAACCCAGAGTATATATATTATATATGCTCTGTAAAGAGTTCAGAATAAAGTAAAAAGAAGTACAAAATGTTCTCG